GTGTTGTTCCATACAAGTGTGTGTTGAACCTAAAGCTCTGTTCGATACGGTTCGATACAGGTACATGTATTGCTGCACCCCTAGTAGCCGCTCCCAAGTAGGGACTTGTCTCTGGAAAGCCTCGATAAAAGACGCCGACGTCTCCTCTGATGATGAGCGCTAGTGTCGTGGTAGCAACATGCTATGTGTTTACATCCATCGCTGCCATGTTTGTAATGACTTATCATGAGAACAAACGTATTCACGTGACTTTAATAACATTTATTACTTAATGGAAACAGCTTGTGTTGTGTGTGGCGATGACCTGTTCATCATGAGGAAGTAAGTGTTCCTCTGAAACAGGAGTCCTCTCTGCATCGTTACCATGATTTGTTGTTTTATGATGTGGAAACAGTGAAACTCATCAGGTTATTGTTGGATCAGAGCAGTGAAACTTTGCCTCACACAGCAGGATTAAACTAAACCAGACTTAAATAAACTCAACAATAAGAAGAGCAGAGCTTCATGTGTTCAGTTGTGCAACACTGACACTTTCAGAATGTATTGTGTAAACATGTAATGTTGTGTCAGTTATTCTCTTTAATCTGACAGATTATCACAGAGCAGTGCTCTGTTTGGTTCAGGTTATTTCAGTCATATTTTACATCTTTCCCTTGTTGGTGTAAAATAAGCTAAACTAGACCTGCTTGAGTTAAATGTGTGCACTGTCAACCTGGATGTTGTTGTTTACTTGTTCATTTGTTTATGAAGCAGTTTCCTGGTTGGATCAGCTGTTCAAAGACCTGCTGTCAGATTGGTTGATAAGACGGGTGGTTCTGATAGACGGGTGGTTCTGATAGACGGGTGGTTCTGATAGACGGGTGGTTTCAGATAGATGGGTGGTTTCAGATAGACTGGTGGTTCTGATAGACGGGTGGTTCTGATAGACGGGTGGTTCTGATAGACTGGTGGTTCTGATAGACTGGTGGTTCTGATAGACGGGTGGTTCTGATAGACGGGTGGTTCTGGACCTTTGTCCAGTGAGTTGGTGAGCTTTCACTTCCTGGATCTGTTAGCTGTTAGCCGTTAGCTGTCAGGGATCTTACATAAGGATATTTTTCAGGTTGTCCAGCTGACCACCTGTTGACAAAACCTGGTTGTCCAAAAGAATCTCAAGAAAAATGTAATTTACCAAGTGTATTGTTCTGTAGACAAAGTTTATTATATATAACTTGTCAGTCAGCAGGTTGACAGGATCTGTGTGAATAAAACTTCCTGTTTCTCTTCTTTGAAATAGAGTTCAACATTCATAAGCTTCTTTCTGCTCACAGGTCAAACAATGTCACTTAAATCAACCCACATTTATTTAAGTTAAAATTTAGGAAAACTAACTAATATCTTATTTTTCCTCCTTTTCTTAAACCTACCTT